CACAGATGGGCTCTAATATCTGCATTTTAACAAGTACTCCAGCTGATCTTATATGCACTAGAGGTCTTCAAACTTTCTTGTTCATGTTCCTGCTAAAGTAAATTGTGAAAAAAAAAAAACTATGTATCTCCTTGTATTTTTAAGTTGCTTTCCCAGTTCTTCATCACAACTTTAAATGTAATTTCTGGAAAGTTGTAAATACTATCATTTTAAAACAAACTGTCACATCTTTTAATCATACCCAATAAATCTAAATACCAGGACAAATTGATACACACGATCATCAACTTAAAAAATATAGAAACAAATCCTTCTTAACAGTCAGGACTTTTACACTGTTCCCTCTTCTCCTTGCACTTTGATTTTCATTCCACTTCCCCAACATAATTTTATCTTAACGTAATACACTCTTACACGTGACACTTCTCATCCAACCAGAAAAAGACCTTGGTCAATCCTCAAAACATTGGCAAATGAATACATACAGGTTTAAGTTAAAAGGTTTAAGGTATGTATATATATTCTTTTTACAATTTGCCCCTTAACTTTTTTGATTAACCAAACCAACCACCAGTTCATACTGTGCTGATCTTCTCCAGATTAGGAAAACAACAAAGACAGGGACGTTGTGGATCCCAGAGGAAGTATTCACAGCCTAACCATAACCTGAAAATAGGATCTCTGTCATCAGACAACAGAATTAATAGTGAGAAGGTAGGATTTCTAAGTGCCAGACCTGGCAGAGGAGGGAAATGCTGTGTCATGACTGGGGTTTGGAACAAAAGTCAAAGAAAGGATTTGGGGTCTAACTAGGAAGGTTTCTCAAGGGCTGTTGATGAAAAAGTAGATCATCAACAAAGGATTACATATCCTTTTAAATCTAAACTATGACTTGAATCATTAGCAAGATGACTTTTTACTTGTTTATCATTAGTAGGTGATCAAATGTACAACAAATATATAAACTCAACTGTATGTTTTTATCCCTATATTAACCCAAAAAAACAAACCTGTTGCCGTTGAGTTGATCCCTGACTCACAGCAACCCTTGTAGGACAGAGCAGAACTGCCCCATAGGGTTTCCAAAGCTATAAATCTTTACAGAAGCAGACTGCCACATCTTTCCCGTGGAGTGGCTGGTGGGTTCAAACCACTGACCTTTTGGTTAGCAGCCCAACACGTAATCATTTGTGCCACCAGGGCTCCTTATCCCTATAATCAAAAAAACCCAAACTCATTGCCATCAAGTTGATTCTGACTCACGGCAACCTTACAGGATAGAGTAGAGCTGCCCCGTAGGGTTTCCAAGGAGAGGCTGGTGGATTCAAACTGCTGACCTTTTGGTTAGCAGCCAAGCTCTTAACCACTGTACTACCAGTGCTCCAGTATAACCTATATAATATACTGTGTCTGTGCACTCAAACACTTGTGATTGCTGAAATGCAGTTAAATAAAGCTGTGGAGGAGAAGCACCATTAAAAGAAAAATCAGACAAAGAAAGAAAAGAGTTGGAACTGAGTTGTGGCTTTTGTTTTTTTTAAACAGCCTCATTGATGACAGTAAAGAAATTCATTCTCCTGCATGAGGCAGAATAGGGAAGCTCTGGATTGGAGAGCACCATTTCATAAAAAGCAAAGATTCAATTTCTACCAGAATACTTCTCTATGTAACTTTGAATTTTGAGATAAATAAGCTTAACTAGATTCAAAATTTCTGAACTAGAAATTGCTTTTATCTAGTATTTCTTCTTATATAGCTGACCCCTGGGTAGCTAGAACTGAAAATGCTACTCTCCCCTTCCCTGCTGAAAGATATTTTTGATATTGTCTTACCAATATGAAGTTTGTTCCTAAAACCATATTACTTTAAAATGACACAGTCTCATTTATGTTATCCAAACATATAAACGTTACTCCTGTAATGTAAGTCTATTATGCATTACAAAAACGAAAGCAAAATATTTAATACTTTAGAAATATATAGTATTTAGAAACATATTACTCAGCTTGAAGGCAACAGTGTATTATCCAAACACCAGAGTAGTCTATGATACAACAGAGAAGATGCTGATAACATCAAAATAGCAATTATTTTAAACCAGACACAAGATGTTAATATATTTTCATTTAATGAAATCCAAACTATAGACATCTCCATAATTACTTGATGATTAAAGCATATATAGTCTTTTCAGAATGAATTTACCTGATCAAATCGTAGAACAGGTTCATTTGTATTATCAAAACTATACACTTCCACCATTCCATCATCTCTCCCAACAAGTAAATCTTTAACCCCATCACTCACGATGTCAAAGCTGTCAACACACAAAATACCTTTAAAAAATAAAAGTGGTAAGTTATTAGAAAAACTAATAGTCAAGTATATATCAAGCACATACCAAGTAAAAATGAAAAAAAAATGTATATATCAAATAAAAATGGGAAAAAAAAACTTTTGAGCATAACAGATGCCCTTCTCTTCTCCATCCCTATTTATCCATGTCAAAGCCTTTAAATATAATCTATATGGCCCCCAAGTTTACATCTCCAGCTCTGGCCTCTCTCCAGAGCTCCAGACTCATATATTCAAATACCTTTGCAGCATCCATCTTCTCTTAGATATCTATCTGGCATCTTAAACTTTCCATGACCCAAACAACTCTTCATTCCCCTCTTTCCCAGCACCCCCTCAACACTGCTCCTTCCCCAGTTTTCCTCTGTCTCAGTAGATGGTACCCCCCAGGTGGGCAGGATGAAATCTAGGCTTCATGTTTGAGTCCTCTCTTTCTCTCATTTCCCATATCAAATCCATTAGTAAATCCTATTAGCGCTACCTCCAAAATATATACTGAAACTGTCTACTTCCTCCCATTTCCAGCTACCATTAGCCTAGTCCGGGTTACCAGTATCTCTAGTGTAGACCAGGATAAACTATAATAACTACAACAATAATTCCCTAACTGGGCTCCATACTTCCATCTTTGACCCATTCTTGTCAAAATTCATTCTCCTTGGTGCTTTGCTTTGTTGTTACTAAATTGGGTCATGTTACACTCCCACTTACAATTCTCCAGTGACTTCCCACTGCACTTAGACTGAAATTCAAACTCTTTGCTTAGGCTTACAAGGACCTATACAATTTAGTCTTACCCTATTTCTCCAACTTCATCACAATGCCATGCTAATGCATTTAGCCACACTGGCCGTCCTTGTTGCTGTTCTTAATTCCTACTGTCCCTCAAATAAGTCATGTTTACTTTTGCCTTAAGTCCTTTGCACTTATTTTTTTCTGTTCCTGAGACATTCTTTTTCCCAAATCTTTACACTGCTAACTTCTTTTCTTACTATTCGGATCTCAGCTCAAATTTCACCTTTTCTAAGAGGCCTTCCTTGACCACCTAAAGTCGCCTCCTCCTTCCACCATCACTCTCTAACACATTGCCGTTATATTTTCTTTAGATGACTAGCTGGAGCTGACTTATTTATTCTGTCTCCCCCAGTAAGCATTTGTTGAAGAAATGAATGACTATATGAATACAGATCAAGTACATACAGCCATCTCAACCACTTACCATGTCAGGAATAAATTCCTTAGAAAACAGGAATGTTCCTTCATCCACTGCACTTCTTCCTTGCTTCATTCCAAATACTCCCAGATTATAATTAATTCCCTACCTTAGCCAATTAAAAATGGATTTTAGCATAGCATGATGTCATAGATGGACATTAGCCCATAAAAGCCTATCTATCCCAAGCTAAATAATTATGCTAATAGTATGACAAACCTGATAAATAAATACACATTAGGTAAATCTGAAGAGGCTCTGTGAATTGCTAAAGTCTGCTATATCATATAAATAAAAAAGTATTAATTATATAATCTGGAATATTTTACTCAATAGTCACTGACACTTCCGAATCTGAACCACATCGAAAACATACCTCCCCTCTTTTTCTCATTTCGAATTTCCCACTTCTGTATGGGACTGGATGTAGTGATCTGAATAAGCCCAAGTTTTCCATCTGATGTTCCAAACAAAAGGTCTTCTCCAGAGTCACCTAAGAGATAATTAAAGTCAACATATTATATTTATTCCACATACTCATAATGACTTTTTAAAATTAAAATATTTTCATATACACTGACTTTCATGTAAAAATTTCATTTTATTTTTGTATGATAAAAAGATGGAAAATTAAATTTGGGAGGATGGCTACATATTCATAGAAGTTTACAGCTACAAGAGACAAGACCCTTCCCCATAATCTAATTTTAAGATGAAGAAACTGAAAATTGAAGTTCAATAACCCATTACTATTAGTTACTGGCAAGATACCAGAAGATAATTCTCACAGTTCCAATTCATTTTCTTTCTACAGTTTTCCATTTTTCACTTAATGTTTTTTATAAACATGTAGTTAGGTTATTAAAAATCTAAAATATCCAGACTTAAATAACATAAAGCACTCCCTTATGTGACTGTAAAAAATGAAACCCCAATTACCGCCATTTCCATTGTGTAGTGCTAAGACAGTAGGAGGTCCAGGAACTTCAACTTCATACATGAGGTCAGATCCCTGAGGGAGAACAAGTATTTTAAAACTGAAACAGAGTACCATTTTATTACAGTCACAATAATGGTTACAGATATAACTTGCACTAAGAAAGAGGTCTGAGCCAAATACGTGCCTGAAAACATAGATAATTATCTATATTCTAATAAGGTACTCTTAATAACATCCAAAATAAAACTACTGGGAAATTAGGTTGTGAATATTAACTTACATTACTGCATTGTTGTTACGTGCCGTCAAGTCAATTTCAATTCACAGCGACCCTATGTGACGGAGCAGAACTGCTCCGTAGGGTTTTCTGGGCTGTGATCTTTACTAGAACAGCCTTTCAGTTAGCAGCGGAGCACTTCACCAACCACTGCCCCACCAAGTCTCCTGTAACTTACATTACAGGTAGGAAATTCCAAAGATGGAGATAGCCTGTGGTGACACGGAACTCATAGCTAAACTTTTTGTTCAACTGCAGCAATTACCTAAGTTTCTGATTCAATTAATCCACCTGTTACATGTTATTTACACTTAAATGCTATTTTAATGGTTCTGTAGTGTGTCTATATGTGTGTGCATTAGAAGTCACTCTCAAGAAGAGGTGGTAGTGATTATTATTATTTCTAATGAAAATAACCTTAACCGGTTGCTTTAGCCAATCATGGTTTTTAACAGAAATATAAGGATACCAAAATGATTGTTCTCTTCTCTTCTATAGCTCACTTATTTATCCAACAAATACTTACTGAGTGCCTACTCTGTTCCACATACTGTCAAGAACACTAAATTCAAGTTTTTATAATCCTGATCTCAGCTATTCCTTGTTAAAGCCTAAGACCCTCTCCCCAAACCAATTTCCTCTTTTAATTTGATTGGGGGAGGGGGGTGGTAGAGGAAGCAGACAAAAGAAGAAAAGCTGGACTGGGGAGGATCTCTGGAGAGAAAGTACGTATTCCATTCAGGTAGTACTAGTTCAGAAATGTGAATGGGAAAAAAAGTATCTTTTTTCTTCTGTATATGCCTCTCCAAAACCTGGCCAAAGATTGCAACACACTTGCCTCAAGTACAAAAAGCAAAAAAATCAATTTATCAATTTTTTAAATTTCCAGATACAATTTTATGTACGGCAATTAAAGTAGTATTAATCACTAAAATAGTTTATCTCAAGTACACATTGTTCATCAATATTCATTTACCCAAATTATGAAAACGCAAATGACAGCAACCTGTAAAACTCTGAGCACTCTGTCCTGGCAGGCCAAAACTGGTGTGATACGAGATACTCTTTCCACTGGAAGACAGATGATATCATTGATTTTGTCCCCAGAAAGGTAATAATGTTGGTCTTTGCAGTCACAATAATGGTTATAGATATAACTTGCACTGAGGAAGAGGTCTGAGCCGGATATGTGCCTGAAAACATTAAAATAGCAATTTAAGATAGTCATATATTTAAAATAAACAGAGCTATCCTCCTGAATTTTTTTCAGAGACGAAACAAAAGTTTATGTACAAAGTTTACTCTCATTTATCACAAACTTAGAGAACAGAATTTTTTTTCATTTCACCCACTTAATTTCTAGGTGAAAATGAGGCACCCTAAGGCCGTAGGCGCCTCAATAAAAATTGAGTTCAGAAAAGCTTAAAGTAACTTGCCTAGGCACAAAACTAGCAAGTACTGGAGTGAACTTTAACTCAGGTAGTTTAGTTCTAGAGCTACCTTTGTTACTACCAACCTAAATTGCCTGAGAAAGGCTATTTGAAGTGAATCTATTTTAAACGATTAACAGCAAAAAAAAAAAAAAAAGGTCTGATTAGAGCTTCATCCTGAAAAATGGAAATAAAAATAAGTTCATTTCAAATTTAACAAAATTTAGGCAATGATCACAGCAAAGTTCTAATCCTTAGACTGAATCAAGCTTCCATTTGGGGGAAACTGGGGCACAATCACATACTAGTGTAATAAATCTTTCACTGCTAGATTGCTGTCACCACATGATCACAAAGAGAGCCATTTTATTTGAAGGCTTCACCAACTTCTCCACCTCCAAGGAAGGTCTTTAAAAATGTTATTGAATGTTTTCATGTTATAGTCTTTGCAATCTTATAATTGTGGGGATTCAAATAGTAAACATTCAAAAATTGAGTAAAACACCTTTCCATCCCACCTCTGCCATCCCAGTAAAAACACTTAAGAAACTAATGAGTATTACTAATAATAGGTATATTACAGCTTAAAATCTAAAACCAACCTTGCTTTTAGTATTTCATAGTCATCACTGGCCAAATCTATCTACAAAAGCATTTCAAGTGTTACTTTCCTGTTGAACCAGTGAAATTATTTCCACTTGCTATTGTTATACTCTTATCTAATTTCATCAAGCCAAAGTTTTACAGCTCATCCATGTCACTCTGCAGATGTTTGCCTAGCTGTGCATTATACAGAACTCTGGACTAAATCAGTAGTTCCCCAACTTAGGTCTGATTGCGTTTACAACCAGGCTGCATCAGAGTCAAATGATGAAGTTTTTTTTAACCCACTCTTGGTTATTCTGATATAGCAGGTAGGAGGTAGGGGCAAGGAATCTATTTTTGGTTGGTTGGTTGTTTAAGCTTCCCAAGGGATTCTCACAATTAACAGGTTTGAGAAACAGTGGATTAAATCAACTTTAAAGCCTTGTCTATCCCTCCATGATTCAAACACTAAAATTTTAATTGCCAATTTTCACACATATCAGGAGGCTTTTGAGGGAATTATTTTTCACTTAGGGCTCACCTGAAATTATACCCTGTTAGTAGTCATGAACATTGAGGGCCAGCCTTTTAACAAAATGATGCTGGCTGAGAACACCAGAGAACAACCAGAGACAGCTGAGGAAAAGGAACTTAAATCTGGAGGTTTCTTTCACTTTTTCCTCTTTGCTTTGATCATGAACAATAACTGAACCAAGAAGTCAAAAATGAATGTAAAAACATTATAAAGGTCTTAAAAAGAAAATAACATTTCAACAACCAATCAATTTTGGATTGATTTCAAATATAATTTCAGATTAATAAAGTACCTTTAAACCTGTTGCCATTGAGTCAATTCCAACTCATAGCGACTTACAGGACAGAGTAGAACTGCCCCATAGGGTTTCCAAGGCTGTAATCTTTACGGAAGCAGACTGTCACATCTTTCTCCCATGGAGCGGCTGATGGGTTCAAACCGTCCACCGTTTAGTTAGCAGCTGAGCGCTCTAACCACTGCACCACCCGGGCTCCTTAAAGTACCTTTAGTTGTATTTCCCAGAAAACCTTTTAAGATACTTCATCAAATGTTCCACATTTATCCCAAACCTGTTGCCTTCGAGTCGATTCAACTAATAGCAACCCTATACGACAGAGCAGAACTGCCTCACAGGGTTTACAAGGCTGTAATTTGTACAGAAGCAGACTGCCACATCTTTCTCCTGCAGGGCAGCTGGTGGGTTCGAACCGCCCACCTTTCTGTTAGCAGCCCAGCACTTAACCACTGCACCACCAGGTCCCCTTTACATCTATCCAAAATATTGTAAATCGATATGTAAAAATAAAAGGAAAACAATAAACATACATAGCTTTAATGCTTTCAGTGAGGTTTGTTTCAAAAGAGAGGAACTGTTTTCCTCTCTTTGTGAAGCCTCTAATCTCAGATCCTGCAGCAATAAAAATTTTCTCCTGAGGCGTGTTAAGAACCCCTCCTAGCTCCAGCCTTGCGATCTTCTGCCCTGGTAAAGTCTTAAAGACTGTCTGCAAAAATAATTAGGGAAACAATTATTAGGTACACGAATTGTTTTACTGTAAGCATTTCCTTTTACCATAAAAAATGCTATGATTTTAAACTTACAAAATGTTATAGTTCCATTATGTGGAAACACTTTTTAGTGAATGTTTTGTTTTTGCTAAATATCTTCAACCTTTGGAATATTTGTTCTTACACATATTTCAATGATATCATTAAATTCTAAACCCTTGCAACTCAAAGTAGGGGTCACTAAGCAGCAGCACAGGTATCACTTAGCTTATTAAAAATGCAGAATCTCAGACCTCACTCCAAACCTGCTGAATGAGAAGCTACATTTTGGCAGATTCCCCAGGTGGTTTCAATACACATTAAAGTTTGAGAAGCACTGGTTTAAATAATACTCCTATCTACAGGAAAGCCTAATTAGCAATTTTTTTAATAGGTCCAATGTACATTTTTTTTAATATAACTTCAATCATCTTTTTAAAACTAATCTTTCCTGGCTTCTTTACAATTTTTATAAATTTTAGTAGGATAAATAAAAGACCATTGAATTTATGTAAAATGTAAATATATAACTTAATACCTATAATCATCTCTCTATTTAATTGGAAAGAGCATTCTCACCATCAATTTCTTCTTGGTTATTTTACATTTTAATATTAGCACCAGTTTCTATCTCTTCCTCTTGCTTCCTCTACACCAATGACTTTATACACAGAGACTAAAATATTTGGAAGGATGTGAGTCAATGTTAAGGCTGGACACGTTGGGTTCGGGTAGTTTCCAGTTCTTCATCTTTTTGTAATGTTCATATTATGTACAATTAATATCAGAGTTCACATCTCAGACCCCTTTGTATATTATGATCTGTGAATATGATGGGATAGTCACGTCCTTGATTAGGTTACATTATGTGGCAAATGGCAGGACAGTCACTTCAATGATTACGTTATATACAACTCCATTTTAGCAGACTAGAGAGAGAGATTTTCCTGCTGCCTTCGAAGAAATAAGTCACCGTGCTGGGAGAGGGCCTGTAAAAAGGCTATATGGCAGGGTATTGCAGGGGGGCTCAGGGAGCTAAGAGAGCCCCTGCTGACAGACAGCAAGAAAACAGGGACATCAGTCCTAAAACGGAAAGGAAGTGAATTCTGTCAACCACAGAAGCTTGGAACAGGCCCTCACGGTCCAGAAATGAATGTAGCCCAGCCAACACGGACACTGCAGCATGTGAGACCTTGATCAGAGGACAGACCTAATGAGTGCCTGGACTCCTGGCCCACTGAAACTGTGAGATAATAAATGTGTGTTCTTTTAAACCTCGAAGTTTGAGGTCATTTGTTACATAGCATAGAAAACTAATACACCGCTACGGGCTGCCAAAGGTATTTTCTGACTGGCTACACGACTTCTGTGCTGCATGCTGCCTCATACAACTCTTCCCTGAAGACCTACTTTCCACTGCATATATTTTAGGAAATTTTTAACCTAAGATTATTCAACAAGTAGTGCATTCCTCCTTCAGAAAAGTTTTTTTCTCCCTGAAAAAAACCTATACTTACCACTGCTTCTCCTTTCTTCACTCCAAAACACATAACTACCCCATCTTGATCTCCAATAACCACCTGTAATAGATTGACAAGATCTAAAATTACTCATATTGTGCCCTATTAATTGTATACGGAGAAAGTAAAACTGTCCATACATAAACTAAGACTTTAAAAGTAGAGACCGGATAATCTAGGAAAGATCCCCTTCCCCCAAAAAGAAATCCTCCAAAGAATTAGAAGAAAGGAACAAAAGAGAAGACAGTCCTTATGAACACTCTGACCATATATTCTGTTCCTCAATATAAACAGAACAAAAGAACATGGATAGAAATTGCAAGGGGGTCATTCTTTTTTCTTAACTGGAGCATAAGAACATCCTAAGATGACTTTCAAAACAGATTATCAAATAAGGTTATGGCTGACATATTTGATAATTTTTAAAAATCTTTTTAATGAAAACTTTCAAATATTCAAAAGTGGAGAAGTTATTATAATGAATTCCAATGTATCCATCACCTGACTTCAGCAATTAATATGTGGCCAATCATTATTTTGAAATAAATATAAAAAATCCAAAACCTATTGCCATCAAATCAATTCCGACTCGTAGCTTTCATCAAATACTCAAAGGGGTTTGTGATCCCTCCAGAAAAGTTTAGAAATCAATGGCCTAAGAGCACGTCCTGTGAAATACCAAATTTTTTTTTTTTTATATTTGAAACTTGTTGTACGTCCTAATATATGATCAATTGTCTAATGTTCCTGTGTGCTTGAAAAGAACATTTATAATTCTTGGTGTGGGTGTTTACACACCGACACACATATGTGTGTACACATATATACATATGTGCATATATATTAGATCAACGGTAATTGTTTTTCTAATCTATATCCTCATCTTTTGTCTACTTGATTATCAATTTCTGAAAATGAATTGGAGTCCTGATGGTGCAGTGGTTAAGAGCCTGGCTGCTAAGCAA